GTAATTCAACACGACGTTTTGAAGACCATTTGTAAGCAATGTCAGTCTGCTTCGGCAAAAAGGATTCGAAATGTCTGACAAGCAGATCAATCGAGCGAAGTACGCTGAAATGCTCAGCTCGATTTTTCCTGCACCAAAATCAGAGAAACAGCCAACACCTAGTACGGCAACAAATCTATCGCTGGAGCAAAGTGCTAGCGCTCCCGCAACATCGGTTTCAACGCCTACGAGTTCTTCAGTTGACACTAAAGCTCTAGTTTGCAATAAGCAAAGTGGTGATATCGAATGGAAAATACAAACCTCAAAGAAACAAAGAACGATGTCCAGCGACCGGAGGCGCCGCAGGCTCATGGTCTTTCGCGCACCTGAATCCTATGATTCCAATCCTCAGGTGCGCTATGAACATGACATCGTTTTTGCAAACTCTGTTTGATAGACTGCTCGAAGTGAATGAGGGCAGGCTGAAAGTGAAACAGATCGCTCGTCTTGGAAAGAGCACCGAGGGCAAAAGTTGACCTATGTGGATGACTTTTGTTGAAGAGGTAAATCCTAAGTTAATATTGTCCCGCCTTAATAGGCTGAAAGGTCTAAAGATCCACGTGCGCGCTGACTTAGACCCAGCAGACAAAGAGAAACTCAAGTCTGCGATGATTGAACTAAAGCGACGCACGGATGATGGTGAAACAAATCTCCGCATTGTAAATTTTATGGTAGTCACCCGAATTCTTCCGCGGCCTGCACCTAGCCTTTACTAACATCTGCAGTCTGATGAACAAACGCAGTTAGCTTAGCTACTTTGTAACCTCTCAGCTGACAGGCGTATAAGGCCTTGCTGAGACATGGTTAAACTCCGACGTAACCGCCCAAGAAGTGGAGATCAGCGGCTATTCGTCCTTCCTCTGCAATAGCCCATCAAATGATCGCGGTGGCGTTCTGCTTTACATAAGGCCTTCCTTGTGTGGCAGACTAGTGAGCATCTACCGAAGCGCTGATGGTCTATTTGAGCAGTTATGGTGTTCGATCCACCTCAGACGCTGCGAGATGCTCGTGGGCGTGGTATATCGCAGTCCACTGAGCCGCTGCTTGGACTGGTTGCTACATGTTCGCAACCATATGAGTCGCCCGCTGTTCCTACTCGTGGGCGATTTCAACTTACCCCGATTACAATGGCCTGAGGCTGAACTTCTTTTTGGCCATTGTGAAGTCGAGAGGAAGTTTGCGAAGTTGATGTTTGAAACTGGGGCCACACAGCACATCAACCGACGGACGCGCATAACTGCGCGCGCGACTCCATCGTGCTTAGACCTACTTTTGACCAGCTGTGGGCAACGTGTGTATGACATTCAAGTCTTGAAGCCCCTTGGAGCGAGTGACCGCTCGATGATCATAGGCAGCTTGGAACTGCCGCTGCTGTATCCTCCCCCACTGGAGACAACCTTCAATTATTGGAAGGCGTACTTTAATGGCCTCACTCGAGAAGTGAGCCAGATGAACTGGTCGTTACCAGAGGATTCGTCCGTTGAAACCTGTTGCACTATCATTCAAGTGGGAGTGAAGTCGTTGTGCGCCCGATTTGTACTCCTTAAGTATCGGAAATTTGGGCCGGTCAAGCCACCTTGGTTCGACAAGGCGTACAGCAAACTGGTCCGACGACGACGCAGACTGTGGAACAAATTCGTGTTATCTGGCTCTGAGGAGGATTACAAGACGTACAAGGTACACGAAATCTCTGCAACAACGCGAAAACAAAAAGCGCAGAAGCTTCGAAGAACAGCTTGCAACCGCCGCAAAAAGTGCTCCTAAGAAGATCTTCTCCTACGTGAAGCGGTGCCTGAGGCCTGCAGGCAATGAGCCTGTGTTGGAAGGCTCAGATGGACAGCCCCTAACCTCGAGCACAGATCGTGTGTCCGCATTGGTGGCGCACTTCGCTTCCGCATTTGCAAGTGACCAGGTGTCTGTACCGAGTTCGACGAGTACCGCTCCCGCTCCCGCTGAACTATACAGCCTGGATTGCAGTATTGGAGATGGAAAGTCTTGACAGGACAAAGCCTGCCCAACCAGACGGAATCTACCTACTGATCCTCAAGTCCTTAACGGCCATCACCTCGCCTTCTGTAACTGAGCTGTTTAACAGGTCACTATCCACTGGACTATTACCGGGCGACTGGAAACGCTCAATCGTAAAGCCAATACTAAACGGTGGTAACCCAAGCAAAGTGGATAACTACCGGCCGATCTGCCTGACCGCTGTTTTGGCAAAGACGCTCGATAACATCGTGAAGAAGAGACTTCTGCAGCTTCTCGAGTCGAAACGGCTCTTGATGCCCGCACAGCATGGTTTTGTGAAAGGTCGCTCATGCATCACCAACCTACTATTGACGACGCACGAATGGTCGCAAGAGCTGAACCAAGGCAAGTCGGTCAACCTCATTTACATTGACTTCAGTAAGGCTTTTGACGACGCGGATCATGCATTGCTCCTCGACAGGCTGAGGGTGTGCGGTGTTGGCGGCTCGCTGCACCGTTGAATCAAGAATTTCCTTGTTGATCGAGAGTGGAGGGTCCAGGTCGACAACCATTTGACTGACTGGTATCCACCGAGCAGTGGCGTGCTACAAGACATTGTACCGGGGCCGATTTTGTTTCTGATCCCTGTAAACGATGTGTCTCAGCTACTCTATTCATCTTGTGTGTTGTTCGCAGATAACTTGAAGGTGTGGAGAGTAATCCGCTCACTTAATGACTGTGACCTGCTTCAGCAGGACTTCGACTGCCCCTCTACATGGTCTGCAGTGGTCAACCTTCTGAGCAACCCGGTCAAGTCGTAATTCATGAGGCTGGGTAAGTGTGAGCACAGTCGAAATTGCACGGTAGCAGGTCAACGGTTGCATCCGGATTTCGTGCGCGACCTCGGTGTGCTCTCACGCTGCGACCTAAAGTCCATTGACAACACGAATAGGCTTTACCAAAACAGTTTTCGTATGTTTTGGGCGCTCAGGCGCAGCTTCAGTCCTTGGTCCGAAGAGATTACCATTCGCCTCTCCGTCTCAATAATACGACCAACGCTAGGGTATGGCTCTCCCGCGTAGTGTCCTATCACCCGAGGCGAGGTAGGAAAGATTGGTCGAGTGCAGCATGTGGCCATCAGGCTGATTCCCAATTTACGAGTTGTGCCGTACGAAGACCGGTGTAAAAAGCTAGGGCTTCCCACCCTAGCTTATCGTCGACTGCTGGTTGACCTCACCATGACGCACCGGATATTATATCTGGGTGATTACCTCAGGTCGAGGCAGCTGCTTCATCTGCGTACACCAAAGAGCGCACGGACACCCGTACAAACTTGTAGTACCGGCTTTGAAGCGGGTCGCTCACCAACTCTGGTTCGAACGGAGAGTGGTGAATGTATGAAACGACCTGCCGCAGCACGTAGTTGAGGCAAAGTCCGTGTCGGAATTTACGAAATTCCTGGGCAAGCTCTTTACCGATATAAACTATATCGAGCGCACTCCACCATAACAGGTCTTTGTCCCTGAGTGACATTAGATGCAGCTGCACAGAGATATCTCTTCTTGCCGTTTCCAACCAGTAACCGGCACGGTTACACACGTCGGACACTGGACTGTCGCATATGGTAGCGCCAAGTGATCTGCATGCATCGAGTTGAAATGCTTCTCTGGCCCAATGTTGTATCGATGATCAGATGCGTGATAGGATTCCGCTAACTTAACTGAAGACACCGAGCTGCTGACACTTGGGGTGGCGAATGTGATGGACTAATTAGTAGTAGGCCTCGCCGTTCACCGCAATGTGAGATTCGTGGGACATGAATGGCGTAAGACAACTTGCACACCACAGGGCCATTCGGTAGCAAGAAACACACACCACACCGAAATACCCGTGGCACAGGGACTTGCTGGTCCCAACAGTACAACCATTACGCTGCATGGGCAGCTACATTGAGTGTGGATCATTGCTTACTCTCCGAAAGAAAGTTAGCAGAGAGACATACTTACATAATGAAACAAGGCATCAAAACTCACCAACGTCACTAAAAAGTTGATACTTCTCATATTTGCCTCGGGTGTCATGTCACTGAGCGTCCATCTTAAGGGTTCACACTGATCCCGCTTTTATTCCCTTGGCCCCACTCACTTTCATCACACTTAGACACTCACCTTAGACACTTAGACACTCCAACTCACATTGAAAACTAAGCCTACCGGCAATGATCCAGCTGTTTTCCAGCTTCCGTACCACAACTAGTAGAATTATTCGAAGGTAACTCTGTTTGTCTCCCTCCAATTGTTTGGAGATATTAAGTGCAAGAACTGAGGTAGTATATGCCGCCTGTTTGCTCGGTTCTCTTCTGCCAACTGAGCGATGGTAAATTAATTACTAAGGGTTATCGACTAGGGATGTACAAAAAGCGGTCTCATCTTATTTTTTGCTTTTATCCAAAATTCCAGGCCAGGTTTCGGGTGAGTAGTATTCTGACTATTCTCAATGCCATATATTCTGTGTACGTCCGACGACCGACTTTCTCCGTTTGCATGATATACTATCGCTGCACCCATTTAGCCGAGACTACGAGGTGGTCAGTCGTTGAAGGAATAAAGTAATTGACTGTGAGACTTGGTCTATATGATACTTGCGACTTTCATACATGGCGGCCTCGGAATTGACCGCATCGGTGCGTAGAGACTATATGATATGGTGCATTCACGAGGTCAGTAGCGCCTCTGCACTCGGTTTCTTGCATATGGCTGTTAACATTACTTCCTGATTAAATGTACTCACTGTTCCCTCAATATCTTTTGCGCTCTACTTCTTTTCCCCACCATGGTTAATTACTCGTTTCCTGGCGGCACGAGTCGTGCCAACTTGATCCACCGCACTTAAGTATCGGGATCATAATTGTCTAACTGAACCAAACTAAATTGAGCTAAACACCTTCATAGCTTTCGAGAATGATCAACTTTCTGTATCCTCTCCACTTACAGTATGCCAGAAATTATCGTGAATGGAAGTGAAAATTCCACCGGCTCGGGAACCGTTCCACAGGTCCGATGGCTTGACCAGCAGCAGTATCTTATTGAGACCTACCGTCAAATTCGCACCAATCTTGGACAATTAGAAGCTGAAATCGAAGCAGCCCGACTTCGGGTGACCGACTGGAGCCAGCAGCGACGACAACCAAGCAGGAGCAGAAGTCTGAGCCATGCAAGCAGCCTACTGAGCTGCAGCACTGACGGACAGACCACAGGCTCTTCGTGTCGTTCGTCTTGTTCCTCTACATGTGGCATTCAGTTGCCAGGTGCGGTAGCTGCCAGCCTGAATGCGGCCACTCTTATTTCAGCCTTTATGGCAGCTAGTGCCTCTCCGAATTCTAGGGTGATCGGTTCCATCGCGTCGGATGAGCAAACCGAGTCAAACCAGAGGTGCCACGTGGAATGAACATACCTGCTCATGCGCACAGAATCCAACTGCCTGAATTTCCACTTTGTACAGTGTTGCTATAGCTGCTGGTGAAGTTGACAGTTCGATCGGACCAAATGGGTCAACTTTTCTGGTTAGGTCAGCGCCGACAAACCTTTGTCATCTCTCTCGGTCTTTCATGTTCGCCTTTTCGCTATCATGTGACGTGCGCGTTGCCTACTCCACCTTTTCTTATGGTGAAACAGTTTCCACTGAATTATTTTTAACACATTGTTGGGATGAGCAACTGTTCTTCATCTCGTTCGTAAATACGCATCCCTTTTATTTATTGGCGAGACATTTTTGCTATTCACACAATCATAAAATTACCCATCACCTTACACCTCGTTGTTGAGACAGACGAGGTTTGCATGAAAGTGCCATACATTTTTGTATCTTCTTTCTCTTTGATTAAGACAGTCTTGCGATTTGAAATTGGAATATATGCATCATCAGAATACAACAGTTTGTCCTAAGTCTGATAGGTGGGAAAGTCTAGAAACCCTCGCACCGCGGCCGTATTACGAGGTGGAATGATAGCTGTGTATTTAAACAGATTTCACCTCCAATAGTTATATTCGCATAATGCCATTCACTGAAAGCTTCCTGTATGGCATCTTCAAGCTCCCGGTGCTCTTAAATGTTGTGTACTGTCCGGCCTCCAAGTGAAGTCGGATCATTGTCCTGTCTCGACAAGCTGAATAGTCATTCCTGCACTACAATCATTTCTTTAGTGCTCCCGCTTGTAATGCCACTGGGAGATGGACGATTGAATAGTGGAGATCATGTATTTGGGGGCCCGAACATGTTTCATATAACGTATGCCCAAAATTGGTGGTTGTTAGTGCTTCTTAGGACAGCTTAGTCACCACCGGTTGCAACCGTGATCCGGATACGGTGATTTTGCATACGTGCGTCGCGGCGCTTGAATCGTGATGATCAACTTATGAGTAACTTCTCATAAGGCCTATTAGAATTCGGATCATCTAGATTGTCTCACATGCATACAATGGCAGCTGACACTGCTCTTGTCCCTATAACTGTAATCCCATTCAACCTTACAAATGTTTACCTATTTCGACAAAACAACCAACTGGACAGAGCTTGCCAATGCTGTCCTACAGCACTACTTTCCATTACTAGTTTCATCCTTGTTTTTAGATACCGATAAACATGGTGGTATTGGGTTTCATACCACGAACGCAAGCCTAGAGTTTTTCGGATAATCTCATCGTCTTTCAGTTAGTCTATCTTGCGCTTCAAGACATTGCTGGTCAATTTGGAGGACCTAAAGGTCAAGGAACAGTTACAGAAGCATTGCTTCTGAATACGTAACATGCTATAGAAGATTGAGATATGGCTAACACCAAGAGAGGCGACATATGATGAAACTGAGTTGGCTACCATACTTTGATTATTAGGCAGCAAGAGCTATGTAATGATCACTACCATCCTACTCTCGGTAGTTGGCGATTCCAGGAAAATTGAAATCATGGAAAGCGGGAAAACAACCAAACCCTTCCAAACCTTACTATTCGGAAGGAGTCGTTCTACTGAATATTGGCTTTGTGTCTAGAACACTTGCTTCCGCACCACTGTTTACAACACAACCTTGCAAACGTCCTCGCTAGCAAACGTCCACACCCTTTGTTACTCGGTTGTTGTTAATTAGGTTGATTCGTATTTTCAGTATGTTAGATATAGCTATTTTAAAAGGAACTGTACAAGTTACAAAAACCTCTCTCATTTTTAAGAAAATAGAGCAACGTACCTGTAGTCTAGCAAGGGCAAGATGTCAACTTTGCTGGTTGTTCGAACATACTGTGGCAAAATTGGCAAAAGGAGTGCTGCGGATAGTATGGCATCGGGCAAATAATGTATCAGAATGGCCTACGATTTTAGACCAATGAATATAATCAATGAAAAATGAATGATTCATAACGAGTAGTGAAGCGGCTGCTTGACAGGTCCCGTAAGATAACCAGAGTGAGGATTTTAAAACCAAAGACAAACAAATAACAGGGAAAAGGGGGCAATTCAGGTTTTAAATGACTTACCAAACTATTCAAACGAACACGGATGCAAGTTTTCCCACCACGTTACAGAGGGGACTGGTGAGCATATAGTCTGGTTCGCGCTATTTCGTTCATATTGCATATGGCCGCCCTGACACTTGTCTATCCAGACTCTTGGGACAAGCCCGATGATTACGGCACGGAAAGGGGTCATCTACATCAGGTCACATCATGATCCATTCGAACATGAGTGTTCTCTAGCGGATGCAAAATGGAATCGCATATGAAATTGTGACAGTACAGGGACTGATTTAACCGATTCTGGAAACACGTTCCATGGCCATTGGGGGAGGATAGAAAAGCTCGTGGCTAAAATCGGGGCAACTATGCTGTTTTCCAACATCATACGTTGATATCTTAGAATGGTTCTGCGGCGACTTCTGAGCTGCCGGTGGCATGTGTTATCAAGCGCGTCCAGGATTTGGGATACTGTTGTGGGGCCACCATGCAGTGATCAACACCCCAGTGAATAAACTTAACAATTTTTATTTCTCACGTGGAATAAGATGCAGTCTACGCAGATCCTGGTTATTTATTATCGTGGAAGCTGAAGGGGAATAAGTTTATGCTTCTGCTATGACCACTAAGCGCAGGTAGCATTTCGCACGTGAGACTGCAGCTATCAGTTAGGCAGTTGGGAAGATTGATGGTTCGGATCATCCAACGCCTTGCGTAAATGTGCTTTTAGAAAGAAACGAACCACGCATCGATCTACACAGAGCCAACATTGCATTCCTGATGTCCGCGGTGCCAGGGAGGAGTAACACCTCTGGTAGGGGACCTGCTTTACCCTCCGGGGTAGTCCGTCTATCTTTGGTCTCCACCTGTCACCTACCTCTCACCTGTGGCTCCAAGAAGCTGCTTGCACGCAGTAGCCGTCACACCCCGGTCAACCGTCAGGCAGGCGGGCTAAACCAGGTAAGGGTAGCCGGGAATACTATTCCCGGTGATTTCGTACTCGCGTGCGACGGCAGTCTTGACAACTGGGCGGAAGAGATCGACCCTTGATCCAACTGCCAGAAGTTAAGACAACTTCCCAGATCCCTGCTTCCTTGCAGGTAGCACTTGGCTGTGCAAAGCCTAGAGGTGCACCCTCGAACAAAAGCCGGATGAGCTTGGGGTCCTCATACGTGCCAATAATCCCCACAAAACTTCATGACATGTCCGTTACCCGCGATTCTTCTCATGCTACGGCGTTCCCGGTAGGCGACGCGCTCTGCGCTAACCCAGTGGCCAGAGTGCCAAGTAAGTTAGCTGGGTCCCTCATATCCCAGAAGCCACTATTCATTGTATGCTGGAATGTCAGAACCCTGTTGGATGTCGGCAGCCAAGCGTTGACGATGCGCACACGTCATGACTACCAGAGCGACATAGCTTGTTTATCAGAATCTCGAATACCCGGCTATGGCTCTCGACAAATCAGTCCCTGGTGTAGACACCTCATATTGGTTTTACTCCAGTGGGCCGGAGGATAATTCTGGCAATCAAGCGGTCGCTATGGTTCTCAGTTGCCAGGCACACTACGCTCCCCTTGCATGGAAGCCAATAGCAGCTACAATAGCAGTTGCACGCTTCAAAGGTCACCCGATAACTGACCATAATCTCTGTCTATGCACCAACCCTACCCTCAGCAGAAAGGGACAAAGACGACTTTTACGATACTATACAGACAGTGGTAACATGTTCCAAAACTCGACATCCTCGTTATTGCTGGGGACTGGAATGCACGAATCGGTCCTAGGAACGATCAAACCCGTCGCATACTCGGGAAATACGCCCTTGGAGAGCGCTGGGATAAGTGAGACTGCTTGCTCAGTTTCGCTGACCTTAACCGGTTGTGCGTAACCAATACTCGCTTCCAGCATCCCAGGAAGCATCTTCTGACGTGGTACTCCAACGATGGTCGTACAGTAAGTCAGCTGGATTACATCTTAATCCGATCCATGTGGATGTCCTTCGTCGGTGACTGTCGAGCGTACAGAGGGGCTGAAACAGCCAATAAAGGTGCTTCGGACCACGTACTCCTGCGCGCCAAATTCAGACTCCACTTGACAATGCTCCGAAAGACTGTTCCATCAAAACGTATCAACGCTGCCCCACCGGAAAATACTGACTGCTGCCAATCCCTTGAGGCAGAAATAGAAGCAGAAATTTCCGCTAGTGCACCACGCCTCGTAATTGCCTAAGGTGTAGACGCCTGTTGGTCTAGGCTAAAATCGTCAGTTCAACGCGCCGCCTTATCTACCCTGGGCTCTACCTCTAAGCCTGCGAAGAACTGGATCACGGGAGGTATTATCCGCTTGTCCGCTAAAGCGAGAGAAGCACGTCTCACGAGTTCCCCGTACTACCATCGTTTGAGACGTGAGGCAACCCGCACAGCACGGAATGATCGCAGCCGCTACTGGTCTAATATCGCAGTCAACATGAAAGCTGCATCAAATTCTGCCAATTTGGGCCAACTCCTTCGTCTCGTCCGTTTAGCTTTCGGCAAGCGCCATTCACCACAGCCGATATTGTGCGATTCGGAACGTCAAATAATCCCCGATACGGATGGAAAACTTTCCAGATGGGTTGAGTATTTTAGCAACCTCCTAAACCGTCCACTACACACCCCCGCGCCTATTTCAGCATTAACCCAGCCGGAACATGACGCGGATTGCTCAAAACCATCTCCCACAGAAATTGCAGACATCGTTCGTCACCTGAAGCCGAAGAAAGCCCCTGGAGCGGACGGGATTCCAACGGAAATCTGTAAATCTTGTCTACCAGCTCTCCTTGACCATTTGCAAGAGCTCTTCTGCTCGATATGGGAGACGGAAGTCTGTCCTTTCTTGTGGAGTACCCTAGTACTACTGCTATTTCCCAAGAAAACTGAGCGAACTGTGTGCAGTAATTATCGGGGAA